ACTGCTTCAGCCCTGTGATAGCCTGTCCGTCTCTGGGTCTTCCATGGCCTCGCCCTCCATCCAGTTTACCTCTTCAGTTCATCACTCTTCCAAATGATCATTGGTCTGCCTCTCTTGTAGTACACTGAAGTTTTCTGCTTCTCATCCCCTATTCCTAGACCTGCAGAATTTCTCCTATGCTGCTTCATCCTAGAAGGTTTTTCCACATGCCTGGAGACTCTAGAAGCTTATCTCAGGGCTCTCTCTGTTTCTTGTAGGCCCTAATTCAGGGCTTTCCCCTGGAATTCCTTTTCGCCTAACTTCCGCAGGACTTCCCCCAGAATTCTCCTTGCTCCTACGTTTCTCTCCTCAACTGGGTTCACAGATCTATTTAAGAAATCCTGTCCTGATCCTCTGCAGCAGGAGTCGGTTATTAAGCTCCATTACAACCAGCTGCATCACAAGTTTCCAGATGACTAGAGAGCCTAAGGGACAGCCGCTAAGTCACAGGCAGGGCTGAGCCCAGCTTGCCTTAATGGCTAGCCAGACTTTGACAATCCTACACTGAAAACACCCTGTTTCCATGCCTGAAATGATCAAGTCCAGGGGTTTCCAATGAGTGGCTAGATGAGTCCAGTTATTTACTTTGTGCATATTACACCAAGGCACAGAGCCTAAAAACTGGTGAGCCAAACACAAATATGACCATTAGCAGCATAAATCAATGTAGTCAGAAACTTGGATAAAATTGAAACTGTAAATCCATCCCTCCTGGTGGCCTTTGCCCTCACTCATCCCCTTCTCTCTCCCTTCTTTTTGACCTCTCACTCTCCTCTGGCCCATCAGCACACAAACAAGCATACTTTGGTTCCCTCATCCTCAAAAGGCCATCTCTTTACTCCATCTGTCTCCTTTCTCTTCTTTGCTGTGACTCCCAAACTCTAGTTTAGATCCCATGGAGTGCTGCTTCTGTGGTCTTTTCCTCTGGACTGAAACTGCTGTAAGGTCAGTAAGGAACTCTTCAGGGCCCTAACTTAGAACATGAACTCCACCCTTACCCTCCTTAACATCTTGTCCTCCTTGGTCTTCTGTACCGGCATCCTCTCCTTGTTCTCCTAATGCCTTCAGCCTCTAAAAGAGGAGGACCCAATCTCTGTAGGAATCTCTATTTTCTTTGTATCTTCTTGTTGTTCTGTCCTATTCACAATTTCACTTACCAGGTTTATGCCAATGATTCAGAAATCTGCTTGCCTGGTCTTGACCTGTTTCCCTAAATCCAATCTCAAATCTCCACCAGATCTCTGATCTATCCTTGCATATTTCAATAACAGTTTAACAACATGGCCAAAACCACAGGTATTTCTGCTTATATCCTTTCCCTTTCTCCAGTCTGTTTCTGTCAATAATTCCACCAACCTCTCTGTTACTCAGACCCATTACGTAGGAGTCATTTTTCATTCTTCCCTATCTCTTAACCCACCCATCCAGGCTAGGTCCACATCTTGCAGCTTCCCATTCAGTTCTATGTTTAAGATCTAATCTATTCTTCCTTTTCACAGTTAAAACTCTCATTCGGGCAGTCATATCCCATGCTGATTAGTGTAAATTCCTCTTCTCTAGGTTCCCTGGCACCCATATCTCCCTGTCCCTCCTTTCTTTGATTTGACTAAACACAGCTGCTAAGATCATCTTCCTTCTCCACTGTTTTATGACGATTTCACTGCTGTCCATACCTCTTCTGGATCCCCATTTTCCTTTTTCCACTACAATCAGCACAAGATTTTTTTTGTCCCAACTTTCAAGGCCTTACACAACTCTGCTTTCCATACATATCTGTTCATCTCCTATCAAGTTGTCCTTATCACCATTACTTCTGCTTTGCCAATAATGGGAGACTTGACTGCTTCTCCTACAACCATTTGATGCCTTTCTGAACACCTATATATGGAACACCCTTCCTGACCTAATCCATAACTAATCCTCTCCTTCAATTCTCTGTTCAAAACTCATTCTCTTCCATAACTCCTAAAAGAAATTGGCCCACTCGTCATGGGTAGAATGAAGAACAGTCAGAAATAAGTAATATGTATCTAATAACAATTTTTAAAATCTATATACAAATTGCATTTATTTTGACTGTGTCCTTGTTCTGCAACCCTTTATACATCACTTGCCTTCTTATTTTGACTATGAATTCTTTCAGGCACATCTCTCATGTGGGTGAGAACTGTATCTAGCACACTGTAGGCACTAATAATTCAACATTAAACTTATTGTGTGATTTTATAAGTGTCATTTAACTTTTGCTGTGCCACTAGGTAGAAGCAATCCCCAAAATTAATTCTGTTCCCTGCAGAGGATGGATGGATGGATAATTGGCAGCAGTAATGTAAAGTTTTATTGTAGGGGTGTTGCACTAGAATACTCAGCATTGTGAATTATCCAACTGCAACAATGCACTTTTCAGACTTTGCACTGCTGTAAAAATACTCTCTAAAGAGGCAGCTCCTCAAAGCTTTCCTGAAGCAAATATAGCAGTGTGTTAGATCCCTGCAGAGGATGGATGGATGGATAATTGGCAGCAGTAATGTAAAGTTTTATTGTAGGGGTGTTGCACTAGAATACTCAGCATTGTGAATTATCCAACTGCAACAATGCACTTTTCAGACTTTGCACTGCTGTAAAAATACTCTCTAAAGAGGCAGCTCCTCAAAGCTTTCCTGAAGCAAATATAGCAGTGTGTTAGATGAAGAACATAATGAACAATTAAGTAGCACTCATCCTTCTATAAGAAAAATATATAAAACCAGTGCAGACTCATTGTTTTGGGTTTGTTGATATTCTACTCTACCCTTCCCATCACTACTAATTACCGATTCCTTCAATGTGCCAACAGCTACTATAACATGGGAGGGTCTATGAATGCATTAAGTAACAGAAAGTGGCTTATTTATAAAAGAGGAAAACTTCTAGTTGCATGCTGATATTTTAGTAACCAGCAATGGTGGAAACAAAATAGATCACTAAATATAATTTTGAAAAGCTTGTCTGGGTGTAAAAACTATGCTGAATATAACAACATAAAAGTTGAAATGTGAGTCAACCATTATTTCTCTTTTAAGCGAAAGGGATGAGATTAACATTGCATAATGACTTAGTTAAACATGGATGAAATGCGACATTTTTTCAAGAGCATCTGGATTGGTAAATAAAAGATTGGAAATGTATGGAAACTAGGGAGGCATGTCCAGTTTAGACAGAGACACAGGCCACAATTTTGAATTGTAGTATTGTACTTGATAGCAACTTTAAATATTTGTAATAGAAGTGGCATATGCTGTCAGTGTACGTGAATGGTTCAAAAACTTCAGGGGTCCTCAAGTGACTGAAAGGCTGACACAATACAGTATTTACAATAGTTTTAAATGCTTTCAAAATGTGTATAATTTGAAAAATCAAATAATGTTTGCATCACGACATATCAACAAGTCTCAAAAACATCAACTTCACATAGGATGAAAATAAATGATGTATAAGATAACTGAATATGCTATGTAAAAACAATGTACAATTGAATCATACAAAGAGAACACAAATTGCCAGAACTTTCTCTCATTTCTTCTCCTGACAAACTTTGGAGGATGTAAAAAATATATATTTGGATGTAATATTAAGCTCACTACTGATCTTGGATTGCTACAGTCACCAAGAATGGATCGCTATTTCAGGATCTCAGTCAACGACAACATGTTCTGAGAAACTTTTTGCAATATTAGGCAAAAAGATGTTTATATCAAAACACATAGTATATTTAACTGGATTTACATGGACTAAAATTTTTTACATGACTTTAAGTCTTGTAGTGATAGAAGAATGCTACGCTTATAACTTACCAAAAACTGTAGCGATGTATGTTTATATATAATTGGTTGCATATTAGTACCTAAACACTAAATGTTTGCAGTCAGTTCACTTTTTTAATTTAGGAATTACTGTATTTGTTTCAATTTTAATAAGTGTATCTTTGCTTATTAATCACAATCCTAATGCACAAATGTCATTCAAATCAGACATTGTACATTAATTTACTGCTGCGAGTATTTTTTCAGCACCAGTTGTTGCAAATAAATGTCATTCTTCCTCTTGGGGAATAACAATAAAAGCAGCTCTATCTTTAGGTAAATTCAAAAAGCTAGAAATCATTTCCAAAAAGTACCTATGGGCCATTGTAAATTAAAAGGAATAAAAAAAGTCAATGGAACTATCCCTTCAACTTCCTCATAATTTGAAATGAGGGGTGCATCCCAGTCAGAAAACATTTTAAAGTAATATTGCTTTAATTTGCTGTATTTGGTATCTTTGTGGTCCATTACTCTGTCTGGAAGACAACCACTTTTCCAAACACAATTTCTTACACAAGTAACTTTTTCTGCAAAAATGATTCTCCCTGTTCTGTTTGTACAAAGGTACTGAGCTGGCACTAATGGCATTGCAGAGTAAAACAAAGCTTTCCTATTTTAAAAATAGGAGTTAAATGCATCTATATTCTTAAAAGCACATGGATCTACCTAACGCCAGGCTGTCTAAGAAGCCAGTGATGCAGGAAGTTGGAACACGCACGTCTTCCCGACAGCCATAGATCAGGAGAAACACTCAGGGAACCTGCAGCAAAGGAGCCTCTGGTCTGTTGCAATTGCTTTGAGCCCAGCCACGGGGTTACGTGAGACCGCCCCGCTCCTACAATCGCTTTGAAAAGAATAACCTGAGCTACCCCAGCGCCACCCCTTCTTGCTACTGCCTAAAGCCCAGGGGGTCGGTCTCGGCAGCGGGAGGGCTTAGCCAGGATCAGTGCAATGTTGATCCCGCATCCCGGGTACCTCATTGGTGGGCTGGCTGCAAAGCCCCCTCCCCCTTGGCTGTAATTTCTATGCATGGCGCAGCATCATACATGACTAGCATTTGGAAAGAGCCCGTTTCACCCAAGACACGTCTCCGGGGCAACAAGACACCAAAGCCTCGGCTCCCACCAGAGCGGCTCCGGAGCCGAGTGGTCAGCACCCCGTGCCCCGTCTGGCTGCCGTCTTCCGGGCGGTGAATCAGGCGGAGGGGGACGATATTTTCCCTCTCCAGGAACCGGGTTTCATCCCTTCGCTCCATCTCCGTCAACAAGGCGGCCCCTGGGGGAGGGAGGACAGCACAGGCTCACCCCGCTGGCCTCGCCAGGCGAGGCTGGGATTATAACCCACCCCCCCGCGTGGAGGGGGGAATAACACCTGAGCCGCGCTTCCTGCTCACGGGGCTCGGACAGCGACCTGGCGAGGGCAAAATCTCCATCTTCATGGGGCCTGTTTGTTAAATGCACCTTTCCACCCGCCCACCCCACACCCCGACCTGAAATGTAGCTCGCGTCCGCAGGAAATGCACCTGCCAGGCCAGCCCCCGCTTGCCGCTGACAAGGGTAAGCCCCCCAGGAAAGGTCGCTCGCGTGCGGCAATCAGAAACGGTGGTAACTTACCTGCCTTCCTGGCACGACCCAGGCAGAAGGTCCCAAAGGCACAAAGCATCACGGAGAGCAGGTAAGCCGCTGGCTGCATGGCTGTGTCCTTCAGTGCCCCCCACCCACCCGCCTTGGAAATGATCAGAGACAGGTTTGCATGGTGCAATACTGAGCAGCTTAGCGCGCTCTCCCCCTCGGTCCTGTGCGCTCTATGGCCGGCCGTGCATTGCTGCTGCTGCTGCTCCCTCAGTGCTGCATTGTGTTTTACTGGCTTCCGTTAGCCTGCTGGATCTTTTACTGCATTGGGTGGTTTGCTGTAGCTTAAGTGAATTTATGCTCCTCCCATAGCTCCTCATCCACATTCAGTCCCTCTACTAGAGGGCTCTATATCAATAGCCAGCTAGACTTTCCTGAAAAATCGCTCTACACGGCTCTGGCGAGGGGAGATGAGTGAGTGAGGATAGCTGGGAAATGTAGTTATTAAAGCCCTGCACTAAGGACATTTAAAATTATACTGCTCAGAGAATTAGAGAAAAAAGTATAAAGTACAAACTTGCCCAAGCAGGGGTGCATTCAATAATCCAGTAGGTCTTTCCCCTACCACTTTCTTTTCCCTACTACTGGTATTATTACTGATAATGCCACTTTACATTTTGTTTAAAATGTGGCAATTCACGAGATTCCTCTGTCGGGGGAAACACTTGGTATAAACTGTGCTCATCCAATAGATAAAGAATGGACAGCCCTTTTTGTGCAGAGATATGGACTTTAATGGACCTCTGTGGTCCCACCACTGGTTTACAGTCTCCATGCTGCTTCTCTCCCAGCCTTAAGAGTCTGTTAACTGTTTCCTGCATTTCCCCCCTTACAGTATGTCTGTTTCTGCTGTTCTGCCTTGTTCCCTCCTTTTTAATCTGTTCTCTCTTCCTCCCTGCTGACTCCCCTCCTGCAGAACACCCCTGGGGAATGTTTAAAACTCCATACAGAATACGGTTTGCATTAAAATATACTAACACGTACCTCAGGGTGAGACTGAAAGGTATAAAGAATTTCTCATACGTAATCCTGGTGTACCTAGGATAGCATCTGTCCTAATCAGAGCAGCCTCTACATGTGTGACTCATATTCACTCCCACCTACTAGGAATTATGTGGCAGTCTTCAATTATTGCAAAATGATTTGACAGTCTTTAATGGATCCCTTTTTCAGAGCTTGACAGGAATAGAAATTGCATCAGAAAAAGAAAACCAACACTTTTCAACTTGGCAAAAGGCTGACAGTAGGGCATCCTTAAAATAACCCAAAATCAAGATTTAGTGAAGAGAAGACGGTCAGGAACTTCAGAGGGGTCTAACTAAGCAATACAATGTAGGATAAAATTGCATTCACCAACTGTGATGCTTTGGGATTCCAGATTAATAAGGGCTTGTGTCATTGCCTGCCCCACAACTCTGGGTGCTTTCAATGCTATGCTGCTGCAGCTCACAATCCTGATGCCAACATCCTGCACTTATGCCCAGGCTACTACTGTCCAGTTACTTTTTGAGAAATAACCCCAGCACTTTTCCAATCCTGAACTTCTCCAAAACTGGTACTGTGCAGTGTCCAGCCCTCTCACTGGACACTTTACAGAAGTGATTCAATGTGTTGCTCCCTTATAGAGAATACACTGCAGCTCATTAACTGAGGGTTGACAAAGCACTCTGTGGTGTTTCAGATGCTGCTTGTAATTATTAGAACTGGGAGCACTGGCTGTTGGGAGTCTGGACACAAGGAAGAGAGGGGAGGAGATTAGCCAGGGCTGAGTGAGAGCTACAGCGGGGTTCATCAGCTTTGTAAAGAGGTTTCAGTTTTGGTAAATAAAGTCCTGTTGAAGTTTGTTAGTACTTTGCTTGCATGATACAACATTTTGGTGACAAGGATGGATCTTCTGCCTCTGAACCCACCTGCACTTTTTCTGCAAAGCCCAGGTGAGCCTGCAATTACTTTTACTGCCTGGATACATATGTTTGAGATGTATCTGCTTGCAATCAGTGCTGCAGAGATTTCTGAAGTAAGAAAACGTGCTCTGTTAATTCACTGCCTTGGAGCAGAAGGGCAGCATATATATTACACTTTTCCCCTTGCAGATGATAAATATGAGACTTCACTCACTGCATTAAAGAACTTTTTTGTGCTACATTTTGTGCTACATTCATAAGTGAATGTAGTAGCTAATCACTACAGATTTCGCCAGTGTAAGCAGAAACCAGGAGAGACTATAATGAAGTATATTGCTTCTCTGAGGAGTCTGATTGTAACTTGTGACTTTGGGAATATGGCAGATGAGATGATTAGAGACCAGCTCATTGAGAAAGCAACCATGCTTTGTGTAAGAGAACGCTTGCTTCTAGAACCACAACTTATACTGGAAAAAGCAATAGCCATTGCTACCCAGATTGAGTCATTTGTAGCAGAAGCCAAAATAATGAGCGTGGATACAGGAGGCCCAGTCCAGGCTGTGACTCCTTTGCAAAAAAGTCCACTATTACTGCAGACAAACAATTACAAGGAGAAAACTAATGAAAAACCACAGAATCAGCAAATTCAAAGCACAGCAAAAGCATGTTTTCACTGTGGATCCCCAGAACACCTTGCAAGCTACACAAGATGTCCTGGAAAAGTAGCGCAGTGCAATCACTGCAAAAAGACTGTGAATTTTGCTAAGGTATGCCGCAGTAGCCAGTCCAATCAACAGGTGCATGCAGTTACAATACCGGATGTTACTGTGCTGAGTGTGGACAAAATCGCTACTGTACGTATTCCAGAACAGATAAGGTGCACTGTAAATGTTTCTGCCACATTTTCAGGTAAATCACATCCTATTCAGGTAATGCTGGACACAGGATCAGCAATATCTATACTACCTGATTCCATCTATTTGCGTTACTTTAAAGATGTGCCTCTTACTGAACCCAAACTTTACTTGGTATGCTATTTGAAACACCAAATTCCAGTACATGGCTGCCTGCCAGCAACAGTGACTTTTAGTGATTGCTGTGTAACTGCAGAGTTCTACATTGTCCACAAAGGCACTCCTATCCTTGGCAGAAATTTATTGGCTGCTTTAAACCTCAGGGTAGTTAATGGACAAATTGATCTTCCTCAGCAAAGCACTTTTGCAGTACACACACCAGTTTCAGCTGGGACCCAAGACCATGTTGAGGAGAAACTTTGTTGTGCTTATGGGCTTGTGCACAAATTAAAATGAGACAATGTGATGCCTGTACAACAGAAGTTATGGCAGTTACCATTTTCAGGCAGGGAAGCTGTTTCAGAGGAACTTAAAAAACTTATAAAAAGGACATTATTGAAGAGATTGACTCATCAGAATGGGTTTCACCTATAGTAGTGACACAGAAGGATGGAGGCATTCGCCTTTGTGTGGACTTAAGGGAGCCAAATAAATCTATTGTGATTGACAGCCACCCTTTGCCTCACATAGAAGAAGTATTTGCAGAACTCGGTGGAGCAAAGATGTTTTCTACTCTTGATTTGCAGAGCACATACCACTAGGTTATGTTGCATGAAGATAGCAAAGACTTCACAGCATTTATTACATGAGGGACTATTTCGTTTTAAACATGTTCCATACAGTCTTGCATCTGCCCCAAGTACCTTCCAAAAATGTCATTAATTCTGAAGAATCAACATAGAGTTCAGTGCTATCAGGCTGATATTATTGTGTTTGGAAAAACTTCTGAGGAGCATGATAAGCACCTGTAGTCTGTACTAAACTGCATCAGCACAGCAGGCCTCAAGCTCAATTTGTATAAATGCAAATTTAGACAAACAGAACTCTCCTTTCTGGGGCATACAATTTCACCGGCTGGACTAAAACCTGATCCATACCATATCCTAGCAATTTCCAATGCTCCGCCTCCAACAGATTTGCAAATGTTAAGTTCCTTCTTGGGTCTTACCTCCTGGTATGCAAAATTCATTCCCAATTATGCTTCTGTAATTGAACCGTTATGAGAATTACTACGGATAAGTTCAACCTTGGTGTGGACAACCAATGCACAAGCTAGTTTGGAAACTGTGAAATACTTGATTGTACATAGTCCAGTACTTGCACTATTCAGTCCTGCATTGCCCACAATTGTGACTACTGATGCTTCCGATTATGGACTTGGGGCTGTCCTCACATAACTTCATGAGGACATCACAGAGAGGGTTGTTGCATTTGCTTCAAGGACACTGAGTGATGCTGAGAGGAAATATTCTGCAGTTGAAAAAGAAGTACTTGCTTGTTTCTGGGCTACTGAAAAATGGAGAACTTACCTGTGGGGCCGCACATTCATTGTGCAAAGACCACAGCCCTTTGACAACATTGCTAACCACAAAAGGACTGGGAAGAGCAGGAAATTGTATTGCTAGATGGTCTGCAAGACTACTCCCTTTCAATTATGAACTGGAATATAAGCGTGGGAACCAAAATGTGATAGCGGATTGCTTCTCTCACCTGCCTTTGTCTTCACCAGATGGTCCACTGGAGGATGAGGATGAAGTAGTTGCACTTATTACAAGGATGAGGATGAAGTAGTTGCACTCTCTTACTGCAGTTACAAGAGAGCAATTCCAAGCTGCTTGCTCAGTATGTCCAATTCAACAAAAGCTACGGGAATTTCTGACAAAGAGATGCCTAAAAACCTTGACCCCGTTTTACTGACTTATTTTAGAGTTCAGGATGAACTTTCTTTGCTTGATGGCTGTGTGCTACGGGGTACACACCAGCTACTTGTGCCAGAAGAATTACAGTCAAAACTCATACACCTGGCACAAGATACTCATCAAGGAATTGTCAGAACCAAACAACTACGGGATCTGTATTGGTGGCCAGGGATGGTCTCCCAAAGTGAAGCAATCATAAAATCCTGTGTCACTTGCCAAATGCATGATAAGACAGCAGTGACATATACCCCACCATTACAGCCTGTTCCTCTTCCTGATTCTGCATGGAAAAAAGTTGCGATTGACATCGTAGGACCCTTTGATACTGCTCCAGTTGACTGTCGTTATAATAGTCACTTTAATAGACTATTTCAGTAAATGGCCCGAAGTAGTGTTTACATTGCAAATCTCTTCTGCTACAGTAATTAAGTTCCTCTACAGTTTTTAGCAGGGAAGGTAACCCCAAAGAACTAGTTTCAGATAATGGTAGTCCATTTACTTCCCTGGAATTTGAAACTTTTCTAGAAGAGAGGAACATTTTACATAAATATTATCCCTGTATTACCCTCAAGCCAATAGGGAAATCAAAAGGTTTAATAGAAGCTCGAAAGAGAGTTTGCAAATGGCTAAACTAGAAGGGTGATCGTGGATAACCTTCACTACTGATTTCTTGCAAGCATTCAGGGCTACATGACATGCCACATTGCAAAGATCACCCACAGAGTTACAGCATGGAAAACAGATGAATACTAAACTGAACATTGCTAGATTGTTAAAGGCAAGACCTGATGCACCAAACGAGGATGATGTGAGAAAAATAGTTGAACAGAACCAAGAAAAGTATAAGGCTTCCACAGACAAACAGCAGGGTGCTAAGGAACCAAAGTTTCAGTGTGTTTCCTTTGTTAGAGTAAGAAAACCTGGAATTTTACGCAAAGGTGACCATAAATTCACATCGCCTCTTAAAATCATTGAGAAGAAGGGACTTTACACCTATCTACTTTCTGATGGGCAGGTTTGGAATGCTTCTTATCTTGCACCTGCCTATGCACCAAGAGGAGATGATGCCAACACCCAGTCTGCATTGGATGACTTCACCGTAGTACCAACACAAGACATTGCACTAGAACCGGGGTTTGAGAGATGGTCTGTCAGACCCAGACAACCACCTGTCTGGACTAGAGACTATGTTACGTAGTATTTACAGTGTTTTCAGTGTAATATTTCTGCCAACAGTATAGTGGCTTGTTCCATATTTGTTGCTGTGGTTAGAACAACAATGTTTATATTATAATTGAGAAAGCTTCTTATGAAAGGAGGGAATGTGGTGTTTTAGATGCTGCTTGTAATTATTAGAACTGGGAGCACTGGCTGTTGGGAGTCTGGACACACAGGAAACAGGAAGGAGGGAAGAGAAGATTAGTCATGGCTGAGAGAGAGCTACAGAGGGGTTCATCAGCTTTGTAAATATTTCAC